GATTATGATATGAGATTGCATTATCATCCCGGAAAGGCTAACGTAGTAGCCGATGCTTTGAGCCGCAAGAGCCAGGTCAACACACTCATGACCGGAGAGTTACCTAAGGAGTTAGCCGAGGATCTTTGCGAGCTATGTTTGGAGATAGTTTCGAGAGGCTCTGTAGCAGCATTGGAGATTCAGTCTACTTTGATGGACAAGATCAGAGAAGCTCAGAAGACTGACAAGGAGATTGCCGAGATAAAGGAGAAGATGAGCAAAGGAAAGGCTAAAGGATTTCGTGAGGATGAGCACGATACCCTATGGTTTGAGGATCGCGTTTATGTGCCTAAAGATTCGGAGATCAGGAAGTTGATTCTGCAAGAGGCCCATGATTCATCGTATTCGATTCACCCAGGAAATACCAAGATGTATTTGGATTTGAAGGACACTTTCTGGTGGACCGGAATGAAGAAATATATTGTGGAGTATGTAGCAGTTTGTGATGTATGTCAGAGAGTGAAGGCCGAGCATCAAAAGCCAGCAGGATTACTAGAGCCATTGTCGATACCCGAATGGAAGTGGGATAAGTTAGGCATGGGTTTTATTTCGGGATTGCCCAGGACTCGTTCAGGCTATGACTCAATATGGGTTGTAGTCGATCATTTGACGAAGGTAGCTCATTTCATCCCAGTGAAGACCACTTACACCAGTGCTAAGTTGGCGAAGATATATATGACCAGGATCATATGTCTGCATGGAGTTTCGAGGACCATTATATCAGATAGAGGAACCCAGTTTACCTCAAAGTTCTGGAATCAGTTGCACGAAACTTTGGGTACCAGGCTAGAGTTCAGCACAGCCTTTCATCCACAGACAGGTGGATAGACCGAGAGAGTCAATCAGATTCTGGAAGACATGCTGAGAGCTTGTGCGCTAGATTATGGATCTAGTTGGGACGACAATTTGCCATATGTAGAGTTCTCTTACAACAACAGTTATCAATCCAGTTTGAAGATGGCCCCTTTCGAAGCTTTGTACGGAAGGAGGTGTAGGACACCATTGTTGTGGGATGAAGTTGGAGACCGTCAGTTGTTTGGACCAGATTTGATTAAAGAGTCTGAAAGGAAGGTTAAGCTGATTCGCGATAGGCTCAAGGTAGCCCAGTCCAGGCAGAAGAGCTATGCGGATTCTAAATGCAAGGAGACAGTTTACAAAGTTGGAGACAGAGTTTATTTTCATGTATCCTCACTTCGAGGAGTTAAGCGTTTTGGAGTTAAGGGAAAGTTAGCACCACGTTTTGTGGGACCATGCAAAGTTTTGGAGCGTATGGGAGAAGTTGCTTACAAGTTGGAGTTGCCCGAAGGATTGTCAGGAGTTCATGATGTGTTCCATGTTTCCCAATTGAAGAAGTGCCACGCGGAGATGGCTGATATACCGCTGAGAGATACAATGCCACTAGAAGCGATTCAGCTGGATAGTGATTTGACCTATGAGGAGAAACTAGTTAAGATTCTCGAATATGCCAGCCAAGTCACCCGCAGCAAGGTTACCAAGTTTTGCAAAGTTCAGTGGAACCACCATACCGAGGATGAAGCCTCCTGGGAGCGAGAGGAAGATCTACTGAAGGACCACCCTCACCTATTTTCTAGCCAACCTGAATCTCGAGGGCGAGACTCAGCTTAAGGGGGGTAGGTTTGTAACATCCCAAATTTTCAATTCGGAATGTTATACAATAGATCATCTTTGCATATCATATTTTATTGCATTCTGGCTTGATCCTAGAAATTTCACGCAACTCAAGGACCCCCGGAGAGAGTTGGAGATTTTGTTATTTTCATATTTGAGTTTTCTCAATTTTTGAAAATAGGATCATTTGATTTTAATTATTTTATATTTGAATAATTCTTATAAAAAAATAAAAGAGAGGGAACAAAATGACTTTCCCAAAATAAAGGAATATTGAGGATTTAATAATAAAATCAAATAAGATTTTATTTCGGAGTTTATCGCTATTTTATTTGAATTTAGGAAAAATGCGCGTTTTTCAAAATTGCATGTTAGGCCCAAATAAATGTTCATCTTGTCCAGCTTATTTTTAGAGGACGGGGAAAATTTATTTCGGGATTTTTGGAGTCCGTTTAGTATTTCTTTTCTTTTTTTTCTGCACGTCCGAACTGTTTTAAAAAAACGAACCGACTCGGGCCGTCGTGGGCGACCCGGACTCGTCCACCGCCCGGCTTTAAAAGCCGCCACACCCCGCCGGCCCAACCCAGCCCGCCTAACCCTAGCCGCACCGCGCCGCCGCCGCCGCCGCCGCACCCCGCGCCCCGCGCCGGAGCCGCCCGCCGCCGCCGTCGCCGCCCACGCCGCCGACCTCGCCGGAGCCCGCCACCGCCAGAGGTAGCACCCGCGCCGCCACCGGTTTTTTTGGAAAACAGTTGGTTTTTCTGTAGGAACCGTGGTTTATTTATATTTATATATATATATATATATATATTTATCGGTTTAGTTTTTTTCTGGTTTATTTATTTTGCGGACGTTCATCTGTACGTTCATTTTAATGAATGGTTTTCGTCGTTTAGCCACAGATAGCGAACGTTCGTCCGTTAGCCTGTTCGTCCGTTTTTCTTTTTCTCGGATTTTCCGCGATTATTTCCGATCGTGATTTCTGATCCGATTTTCGTTCTAGTATAACTTTTCGCTCGTTTATCGGAATCAGGCGATTCAAGCGCCTAGAGTTTCGTCTCGAAACCCTCTTTCCATTTAACAAACTCAAACAAAATTTTGCTATTGTAAAATTTGACTTAGGTCCATATTAGTAAACGAAGCTTGTTTCTTTCGCCGTTTGACTTTCGTTGCTTCGTTTGATTTGATTCTTTTTGCAAACCGGAGTTCTTAAGTTGAACTTTCTGGTTAGATCTCTTATTTGAGTTTTATCCGTGCATTAGACGAGTGCTTATTGTATGCTTGTTTGTTTGCGATGAGTACCCGAAGTGCGCCGCTTGCTGCTACGAGTCTCTAGGTTTCACGGATCATCAGCAAGGCAAGTAACACTTTGATCATACCTCTTTACAACCCAGTTTTATTGCATTAGATCAATCCTCAAGCAATTGCATGATTAGGATCTGATTAACATGTGGGTTTTGGGGAAGTAGATGAGGTAGAACCTATTACTTATTTTATTATCAAACCTTTGGGAGTTACTTCACGTTTGCTTATATCGCTATGCTATGCTAGTAGACGTGGATTGGGTGAGTGTATCCATGATAAATGTGAGATTGTTAAGTTAATGGTTTACTTAAGGTGGCAACTTTAATACACATTTGGGTGGATTGAAGCACCTGGGGAACCCAGTATTGCCTGTATTTTTGGAAATACCGGGGTACCGTGTGATTCTCCTATGGACCGCCACCCAGGCTCAAAGGGATCATGAGATTATTCATGCTAGAAACTTTCGTGTGCAGCCACAAGCCATTATGGGCTCTAGCATAGTTGATTAAGTCGTGTGAACTCTTACAGAGGTAGACTAGAAGATGTAGGGGAAAGTAGGTGTAACTGTCTACACATCGTAAGGTGCTAACGCTTCTGAAAGACTGTGTCTCGGTCATTCGTTTCTCAAACATCATGTAGTGTGAGAAATTCAACGGAGGAGATCGAGTCTTGTGGGGAAAAGTGCGCAAACCTCTGCAGAGTGTATAAACTAATCATGGTTAGCCGTGTCCCCGGTTATGGACGTTTTGAGTATCTACTACCTGGATTGTCATGTTAATCTCATCATGTTACTTTAATTTAATTTGTTGGGTTTTAATGATGATGCTTAATTGGGATTGAGTTGGGTGAACCTTCTCAATGTTTAACAACCACCATGATAGTCAAATAAAATTTATTCCTTTGCTGTAGAAAAAAATTGACTTTATGCAAAACTGTAACCGTAGATCTTTCCACCAGCCATATATGCATGTAGTATAGCATTATTTCTATTCATTACTCTCTATGTGTTACATTGCCAGCATATTCCATGTGCTGACCTGTTTTCGGGCTGCAACGTTCATGTTGCAGACTTTACAGACGACGAGTAAGGTGCCTTAGGTCGTGGTCTTATACTCAGTGATGCCGTTGGAGTTGATGGACTCGCTTACCTTCCAAGCCTTCCGCTGTTATCGTTATTAGATGGCCTTAAGCCATATTTATTGTAATAAGTTCTCTTTTGAGACATTCGATGTAATAAGTGTGTGATTGTTACTCTATTATAAATCCTTCAAGTATTGTGTGTGTCAGCATTACCGATCCAGGGATGACACTTATGCACAGAGATCAGACTGTTTGAGGTCTGGTCGCTACAATCTATGACCTGCAAAACCAAAATGTGAGTATGAATACAGATTTAAGAGGATAAGTTCGGTTTCGGATTTGAGGATCCCGGAGACTCGTTCATCTTTCTATGATGGTGAGCCTATGCCTTGGAAGATGGATGACAAGCCTACTACATCAACAATTCCATCATCACGACCTCCGAAGAAAGAGACATAAATACATGGGTATGGGCACTCCCTTTGGCAACTGCCAAGCTTGGGGGAGGTGCCCCGGTATCTGAATGAGGTTGGCCGGATGATGATTATGATGATTTTCTAGCAATCATGGTTTGTAAGGAATGAAATAGTTCATGGTAAGCATGCACCCCCCCCCCCATGGATGCCTCGTTGAGGTTTCTTCGGAGTTATGTCGACTCCCTAATTGGCATCAAATTAAATCCCCAGGCAGATCCGGCAAAAGGTAAAACTTGTATCATATATGATAGACCTGAACGAGTTGTGAGGTCTACTAATGAGCCTGTCGAGAGAAGATGGAGCCCTCCGGTCACGGGATGGAACAAACTTAATACGGACGGATCTTTTATCTCCTCGGAAGTAGCCGGAGCTGGAATGATTTTGAGGGATCACCTTGGGGCCATTAATTTCTCAGCTTGCAGGGGGCTGTTCTCGTGTCGTGATGCGTTGGAAGCGGAGCTATGTGCGTGCATGGAGGGTTTTTCCTTGGCTATTCAACGAAGCGACCTCACGATTGTTGTGGAGATGGATTCTATGCAGGCCGTGTCCATGATCTCATGTGTGGGCGTCGATCGCTCTATGTATGCTCCTATTGTGCAGGAGATTAAATACCTGATGGGTCTAAGACAAAGTTGCATTGTTCATATATCTAGAACCCCGAATAAAGCTAGTCATTGCTTAGCTGTTTTTGCTAGAGATCAAGGTAGGACCATGACCTGGCTAAGGGCGGGTCCGGTTTCGATGTTGGAGATAGTTGCTGATGATTGTAAGGACATTTTGATTGAGTAATGCAATTTATTCCCCGAAAAAAAAAGGACCTGGTTTACATCCCTGCCGTGCCTACGTACGTGCGTACTCTACAGTATACAAAGACCAAGAGCGTATTGTGTACCAGCGCGCCCACATGTGCGCCCTGCCTCCACACATACGGCACCCGCCTTTATATCCCTTTCGACCTTTCCTTCCACCCCCGCTCCGCTTCTTCTCCTTCTCCTTCCACTCATCAGCTAGCTCCACAGTTCCACTTCCGCGACAGCTCCCAGAGAAGAGCCCTAACTAGCTTCATCTTCATCGCGCCTCACCGGAAGGCATGGACCGCAAGGACAAGTCCCGCAAGTCCTCCTCGGCAGCGTCCATGGCCGCGCTCGCCGCCGCAGCTGCGGCCGGCGACGTGGCCCGAGCCGACGGGATGTCCGGCGAGGAGGACCAGAAGCTGAAGCTCGTGAACGTTCCCGTGGTCTCCGTCGGCGGCTCGAGCTCCTCTGCCGCGGCGGTGGCGGTGAGGAGGGGCAGTGGTGCTGCTGGCGCCGTGGCGACGGGCGCGGCTGGGGCAGGCGGGCCGAGCTGCCAGGCTGAGAGGTGCGGCGCCGACCTCAGCGAGGCGAAGCGGTACCACCGCAGGCACAAGGTGTGCGAGGCGCACTCCAAGGCTGCTGTCGTGGTCGTCGCCGGCCTCCGCCAGCGCTTCTGCCAGCAATGCAGCCGGTAAGGACAAATTCAGAAGCACGTCCTTTTAGGATCGATTTTCTTCATGATCAGTTCGTTCGTTCGTTCGTTCGTTCTAAAGGTACTCCATATATGAACAACTGCATAGATTATCCATTTGGCTCTTAGCTTTCTTGCAACCTTCACAAAACTCTCGAAGTGGAAATTCTAAGACGATTTCATTTTAGAACATGCATGAGGCTATACCTCTTGGCTTCGTTCTTGGTAACCTTCCAATCAACACTGATAAGAGGCCATGCTCAAGAAAAAGAAAACTATTAGTGCAGGTTACTGTTTCATTTATGCCGTACACGTAGATAGTAACCCTGTTTGTATTATCTCCGGCAAGCTTAAGGTGATAAGAAGTGGGATAAGAGAAGCCAGGTCTCACATGTCATCCAGAGGATTCTTGCTTGCTTTGTTAGTGCACCATAGACCGTAGTGCACATCATTGTCCTTTCTTGTTTGCTTGGAAAGGATAGTGGCTCTGTGGCTGTGGCAGTGGCTGTACATATTCTTTATGGGACACAGACTTTTAGCTCCTGTCGGTGCAGATGATCACAACTTGACTTGGTCCTTGCCATTTGCTCAAACCCATGGCCCTCCCTGAGCAGTTTAGCTGCAAAACAGTCTGTGCCTTCACTGCTAGCTATGTTTGGGTGCTTGATAGAAGAAGATGTGGTCAGTCTCAGTCCTAGATTAATTTGTCCACCTGTTTGGGTGCCAGACCGGTTGCTGCATATTTTCAGATGCTTTTATGTTTCTTGCATGTTGCTCTATCTCCATATTAGATTCCCTTATTATTGTAGATGTCACCTTGGCATTTTTCCTGAGCAGACGAGTCCTTCTAGTGTTTAGATTTTAACGTGTGCTTTTCGAAAAGGAGGGTACACCAGTGGGATTAACAGTGTAGCTTGAAGTTAATCTAGCAGTAGTGGTGGTGGTGGTACTGGTGGACCGGTTCATTTCCAGCGTGCAGTTGGTCGCTGGCCCTGTTCATGCTGTCCTAGTACAGTTTTAAGGTGTCGACAAAGACATTGCTACAGCAGTTCTTGATTACTCATAGGTGGGGAATTCAAGTGGAACAAACAAACCAAATGTGGTCCTCTGATTCAGAAAGCCATCATGCTTTTTCATAACCTGTAACTCGAAAAATAAATTGAACCAGGAACCGTAGAACTATGAATGATGCTCTGACCATAATGTACGAGAGTTCAGAACCATTCCTGCAGAGGAACACACACACACACACATGCTCTGTTCTTCAGGTACCCCGTGTTAAATCGATCAATGCACCGTTGTAAATTGCAAGATAAAAACTGGAGGTTAATTATTGGCGATGTAGGGGAAGTTGGGGGTCTTTGTACGGATAAAACAGGACTAAATACTTATGGATTGTCTCTGCTTTTGCATGCACATGCATGAGCACGGCACCAGATTCCACCGGTACAGCTGCAAAAATAGCTTCGTTTAATTCGCTCCAGTTACGCGGCAAAATTTCGTATTGCTGCTTCACTTCACGTGCTGCGAGTAGTTTTCATCTCTTGGTACTTTGTTTGGTGTTGCTATCAATGTTGTGCCTGTTTGCTGTCGTCTCTGTCTGAAAACTGCTGCTGCTGCTCTTGATCGGCATTGCATTGCAGGTTCCACGAGCTTTTGGAGTTCGACGACCAGAAGCGCAGCTGCCGCCGGCGCCTGGCCGGGCACAACGAGCGGCGGAGGAAGAGCTCGGCGGAGGCCAACGGCGGCGACGGGTGCCGCCACGCCGACCAGGACGGCCGTAGCCACCCGGGGAACCCGCCGCTGAACCATTTCCAGATCAGATAAACCTACCTAAGCATGCTCCCTCTCTTCTGTCATGCAGCCATGCTACTAGCTACATATGTATCCACCGACCTATGTACGTACCTGCCTACCTACGTCTCCACTATCCGGTGTACTAACTGGCAGTATATGTGGTCTCCTGTACTGCTATATATTTGCTGCTGTCTGCCAAAAACCTAAGCTAAGCTAATTGTAACCTGGGAACTGGTCAGGTGTTAGAGTGATTGTGTGTGTGATGTGTAATTGTATGGCCTGTGCAGCCGAGACTTCTGCAGGCTGTGTAATATTGCTGCTGTGCTGGGATAATTTGTGGCAATATATGCTATCTATTCGAGTAACTACTAAGGAACGGGCCAGTGTATGTTTTCTTCCAAGTCTCTATACCCAGTCCCTAGTGTTTTTTTGTTTTGTTTGTTATGTATTTTGGTTTTCACTTGGCCTTTCCAAACCAACCAGGCAATTTTTGGTTTTTGGTTCTCATGTTTCCTTATAAACCTTATCGCCTCTATTCTTCTAATGGAACTTGCAGAAACCCCTGCCCTTGAGAAAAGGTTCTTTGAAAAAAAAAGATTACTCAAAACTTTGCAAGACGCACTGAAGCTCTGTTTTGAACAAAGACGCTAAATCTCAATCCCCTCACCAACTAAATAGGGCGCCATGGATTTCGAGCCCCAAATTTCACTCCCTGTCAATTTCTAGTTCCCTCCAAATCTGAAAAAGAACAAACCTATAATGCGTCTACACGGTGTTTGTCAATGTTAGATTTATAGGTTTCAATCACCTTAAATATACAATTCTTAAGTGTGTAAAAGTGTTTGTCAATGTTGTGACAAGGGTTTATGGAGCTTGGTATCTACACGCACCCAACGTCGAGGACACGGTGAGGCTTTTAACATTCAGTGAAGTAAGAAGCTAGCATAGGATGCTTGGGAGCGTTGAGGCTTTTAACATTCAGTGAAGTAAGAAGCTAGCATAGGATGCTTGGGAGCGTTGACTGTATGGACTGGAGGTGAAAGAATTGCACTGCGGCATGGCACAATCAGTTCACCGGGCGTCACCATGATCCAACTATTATTTTTGAAAACAGTTACCTTCGAGAATTTGTGGACTCTTGACATTGCTATTTTGCCTTGCCTGGCTCTCATAATGATATTAGTGTCTTGCAGAGATATCATCTTTTTGCTAGCCTAGCAAGTGGTGATGCCTCGGCATGCAATTTCAAGGTGAACAAACATGATTTTGACCAATGCTACTATCTAAGCCGATGTCATCTACCCATCCTGATCAACATTTGTGAAGACTAATCCTAAAAGCATCTTCAGCCGTTCGGCCCCCAGGGCGCCGAAAAAGAGCGGCCTGGGGTGAACCGGTGCTAGATTGGCCTCTGGGGTTCGGTTCGCTCCCAGTCATAGGCCCATGGTCGGCGCGGGGCGAAGTTCGTTTCAATTTTTTGCAAACTCGGCGACTTTTGCAGGAACTCGGCCAAACTTCGTCGAAATTTGTACAAAAACTTAAAAACATGCAAGAACTACGCCTAATAACATAAAAACAAACTAAGAAGCCTAGCCGCCGCCGCCGCCGCCGTCGTCACCGTCGTCTACATGCCGAGAAGCCTGTAGAAGCGGGTGTAGTCGCCGCCGCCGTCGTCGTCGTCGTCGTCGCGCGCCTCGCCTGCGGCATCCCTGCTGCAGCCCTGGCCGGGGTCGCCGACACGTGGTGGGGTGCTTGACGGCCTGGCCTCGCCTTCGTCGTCGCTGTCAATGACGATAACGCCTCCCTCCTCGGCGCGGCGACGGACCTCGGCGCGGCTACGGGCCTGGGTCTCTAGGTACGCCCGGCGCTGGCGGCGTACCTGCTCGCGGACGTAGTCCTCCTTCGCCCATTTGAGGGCGGACTCGTCGTCGGGGGCCACCATGCCGGTGTGCTCCGGCTTCACGGGGAGCAAGCCCGGCTCGGGCTTCGGCCGGACCAGGCGCAAGAAGTGCCTCGTCGATGTCGTCGCAGGCGAGGGCTCGTTGATGATGAGCGCGCCGCCCGAGCAGTGTCCCCTCCAGCTCGGTCTTCACGGGGTGGAGGGCCAGCGAGCCGAAGCCCGACGACGAGGACGACCCCGGCTCCATTCGCCGCAGCATCCAGGAACTACGGCGGCGGCGAGAGAAGGAGGACCGCGTCGGGTACTCCAGCCGTGGCACATTGCCGGTCTCGATGTGGTCGAGGACGGCGTCGAGTGTGCAGCCAGGGACGCCCCACCACTCGCGCCGTCCTTCGGAGTTGAGGCGGCCGCGGGGGATGATGCCGTTAACGGAGGCGATCTGCTCCTTGTGGCGGCGCTCGAAGTACAACATCCACAGTGTTTCGCTATCGGGCGCGTACCTCGGCTCATTCCGCTGCTCCTCCGTCAGCGAGGAGCGGACACGGGCGATCTTCGCCCGCCGTGCCGCCCCTTCGGGTACCCGCGGCACCGGGACACTGATGGCGCT